CCTCTCTACCCAGCATGCATTGTAGGCCTCACGTTCGAGTGCCCAGGGCCTAACTAACTCAGAGGCCCTGGGCATTTCAGCATTTGCTGAAATCCGAGACTCGGTGCACTCCAACCAACTGGCGTGCTGCAACTGTATGAACCCCACTTCGTGAAATGTTGGCACAGAGGGCTCTTGTTGATTTGCTGGCCCACCTTCACTTAGGGCGGGCACGAGGCTTGCTGGGGCCTTAGCCCAGAACATGTACATCATGGCAAGGCCCCTACTTGAGGGCTCAATCCTCACACACACCAGTGTTGAGGCTGGGAGGCCCGAGCTTTGGACAGGTGGAGCCTTCTAACCATCCGATTAAGTGTGCTGACAAGAAGGCTGCCCGTGCTTGGGGGCTGCAACATTATGCTAGCGATGCCACCGAGAGTAATGGGAATAACTTTCAGCGGCAGTGAGAGCGCCGACGATGACACCACGACATCTGAAGGTTTCTGGTTTTCTTGTTTAAAAGGGAACTTCAAGCTGCCATGGGCAATATCAAGATGAGCTATGGGCAATACCAAGAACAACTAACATGGGCTGACGGCATGATCTACAGAAGAAGCTGCTCGCTACTCAGTACTATAGAGATGGGCTGAATTGCGATTATGACTCTGATTTTTTGTCATATTTTAGGGTATGATTGTTGTCTGTTACAAGTCGTTGTTGTCTAAATTTTTTTTTTATTTTTTTTTTTGAAATGCCCTTGCGATATCCCTCTATCCTGGCGGTGGTAGGAGAACCGTCAGAATTGAGGGCTTACCTATCAGGCTACTCCATCTATTGGTGGGGAGCAACACCTGCTGGAAACCGGGTCCAGCGTCCCATTTGATACATCGTGAAGCACTGGGATTGATGTTCATTGTTTTCTGGGCCTGTGGTTATTGCTTATTCATCCTGAGGCTCCATCGTCCCGTGGAGCTGCTAGTATCACCCTTCCCTTTATAGGAGCACCCCTTATCTATTAACCCAGCCCTTTTTTCAGCAGCCCCCCTGTTTGATTATTACCATGTCTGTACCCTGTAAACTCTATAAACTCGTCGTCAGCGAAATTTTGCCGGCAGCAGTATACAGCTCTCTGAACTGCTTACCTACCAGACAGCATTCCGCTCCGCTTAATCTTTAGTATACCCTACATTGTCTCTTGACTTCATAACCTTGATCTTGTTGGCTGCCTACATGTTGGCTCTCGGTATCTGCTCACCCAGCTGCTAGCCTATGTCTAGCTTAGCCTTTAACATAATGTATATTGCCTCTTGATTACATATCTCCGATCTTGTTGGCTGCCTACATCATGGCTCACAGTTTGTGTCAGTATCCTCTGGATCCATGTGTGTTGTCAGGATTGCCTGTAATAATTTATAACTGCTAAGCGGTGTACTGTTTTTCGTCATGATGCATGATGCCCAGCGTTTCTCTTATTGTCTCAGTCACTGATGTTAGGCCTGCCTCCATGTTTCGTATTATTGCATGTAGGCTAGTAACCTTCCCGTTCCCCAACCCCCACCCTTGGATTGTGCTGTGCCTGGACAGCTTTTCAGCTTGTCTACACATTGTACTGAGTTCCATGTCACTGAGCCTCGGTGTTGGGTGGGTATCTTGGAGAGGTCTGTCCCTCGTTCCCTCAGGTGGACCTCGTCCATTTGCACGCTGCCATTTTACCTCAGTCTTGGACTGCCGCCTGGCAAGGATTTGTGAGCATTTGTTATCTGGGTTGTGTAGCCTCGAATTCAATCATCTTGGTGCCTTCTTCATGAGACCGGTCCAACTCGCATTCGGTGTTGATCTTGTATTCCTCGGATCTCCTTCTTTACTGTGGGTGGTCCTTTCCCATGTCTTCTTCAGGCGCTAATCCACTGGTCTCCCTCCTCCAGTTCCCTTCGGGACGAGTCTCCCTGGCCGGCTT